GCAGCCGTAAGCTCCGTTAAAATAACATTGATTTGAGAACCGATCGCTGTTCTTCACAGCTATTGAAACTTGACCTGACTGAAAATCAACAGTTGTTGCTCAACGTGGGGTTCGTAAACGTCGCGTAAAATACTCGTACACGATCGTCTAGGTTTTTTAGACACCTGACCCGAAAAGCTTACCGGGGACCCGAAAGGATCCATAATATGCTTCGTCCCATTTCTCGCTGGAGAGCAAGGCAATTAAAAAATACTAATTATCTATTTCTGCTTAAGTTAGCATCATAAAATTAACAAAAAATATCTCTTTGCAAGGTCCCCCGAACATATCGTAGGTCCGGGGACTTATGTTGTTTACATTCCTACCACCCAAAAAAACAGCTCTGAAGTAAAACGTCCGTTTCACTTATATTTAGAAAGTGCCGCAACGTAAGGAAAAAGTTACTATACTGACAATGAAAGGTATTATTATTGCCTATGAGATTGTTTCTTTCCATTTTACTTTCGCGCATACTACTCCCGTAATATAGAGAAAATATTGTAATGCTGCGGTAACAATTGGCGATTTTTCGACAGAAAAACTCAAAGGGGCTCTCATATCCCTGACCTCCATCTCGATCAGGTTTTTGTCGTTTCCCTGATCCATTAAGCAAATGCTGAGACGGCCCCTTGTTTTGCTTATAGTCGTAAATGTAGCTTCACTATGTTCACGTTTTGTTGAACTGCAGTTTTACTTGCAGTTGTACTAGTGGTAGGAGTAGAGGTGGGGATGAATTTCTATTTTGTTGGCAATACAGAGGAATAAAATCTGGAGTTCGTTTGCCGATGCCAAGTTTTCTATAACACGGGATGTCTTGTTTCTAGAAATGTTGCTAATCTCAAGCTTTTTTAATATTATTATATTAACCTATTATTTTGTCTTATTATTAATAGTTTATTATTATTTTATATTATTATTTTATTAATATATCAACTATTTATAGTTCAAATGTTGGAAAGGGGTTCTGGAATTCAAGAAAACGTACGCAGTTGATATTCTCCCCCATACATCATATACAGTTTCTGTTTTTTGACTAAATCAAATCAAATATCGAAAAAGTGGATAAATCTTGCTATTACAAATGAAGTAATTTCCTTCCTCTATCGAGTTAAGTAGTCAGACTTTCAGTATGCAAAAGGGGAACACGGGAAAATGTATGTAGCCGACGCTAGCGCCTGAACTACTCTTCTCCAAAATTGATATTCCCCTATCGATCTGGTCGCACTCGAGGCCTTGTGAATTGAAAAAGGATATTTTAATTTTTTTAGGTACTTTATACAAAGATTCAAAATTTAAAAAAAAAAATCAAAAGAAAGCTTAAGCAATATGGGTCTTCCTTTAACTCTCTCAATTTTAAAAAATTGCGAAAATTCAAATTTTGTCAGCGATATCCTACAATCACAATGTGGAAGATAGAGAATTTTTCCTGAATGAAATCCGTTTTTCAAAGATATCTTTAAGTAGGGCCATGTAGTACAATTTTTGGATTTAAGCGCGGGTAGTTTTCGCGTAAATTTTGCATGAATAAAATACAGTTTATAAAATGGCGAAGATCTCGTCTTCATTGTACTATCTAATTTTACGAAAATTTCGAAAGTTGTAACTTTATAAATTAAAGCGACAAATACAACTAATGTGAGAACGTGTTGTAGCCCCACTTGTTTCTTTTCCTATAGCATCCTAATTAATCGCTGATGAAAATTGAGCATTTTTTTAAAAGAAAGGTGTTTCCTCGCGTTCTCGAAAAAGTTTACATTCTAGCACTTCAGCTCGGCGTTTTACAGAAATATCCTTAATAGAAATTACAAAAAAGTTTCCAATTAGTTACTATTTAATGTTCTATCTTCAAATGACCGTTATAGAATTTGAAATGTTTGAGCAGTTTCAATTTCGTTTTCGACGTGCCCTGATAGCAACACCAAAATTTTGGGATTATGAAGCCCTTTTTCCCTTATTTTGTTCCCCAACAGAAAATACCAATGCATCCCCCATGTCTAGACCTCTGCTGACCAAAAGTATAATGCAAATATAAAGCAATTACTTGACACGCGCATTTATCATTTCACAATAACTTCAGGAGGAAAAATTAGGTGTACTGTATTTTTTCTTGAAGAATAATATATACCCTAGTTCAATGCCATTGTGATAAATTCAATGAGTATCACATTAACCATCCCATAGCAGCCAATGTGTTTAATTTGAAAATAAAAAAGAAATATATTACAATAATTAACACCTGCCAAAAAATTCTCTATTGATTGATTTTATAAATTATACAACCAAATAGTAGGCCTACTTAAAATATTACTTAAATAAATATCTAAAATTAAAAAATCTCATAATTTTTCCACCAAAAGGATTTCCAGAATTCGTGCCCCTCTTATGTGAACACAAAATTATTAGTGTTTGTTTCAAATGGGGTCAGACAATGCAGTTCCAAGTTTATAAGGTAAACCAACTACTTTCTTTGGTAAAAAGTACGTGAAATCTGAAAACCCTGTTTTTCATGTTACAATATTATACCTCCTTGAAAAAACAGAAAAGTCTGAAACCTTTCACGTATGCTTATTAGAGTATTTTCATTTATATGAGGTCCAAGATGACGAGAACATTACACAAGAAATTAAAAACTGAGTACTTGTTTAACCTAACTTCAATTTTCAATCTTTTTTCACAAAGACATTAAATTTTCCGCAACTGTCAATTTTTGCTCAAGAAGCTGGTTGTCAATACTGAGCAAAAATAAATTTGAAAACATGTCCTGGATCATTCTGCTCCTCAGACAAATTTCTATTCATTTCATTGCTAAGAATCCTTTTTCACAGCCAGCTGAGCTCACCAAATGAGCCTAGAGTAAATAGCAATAGCTTGTCCAGATTGGGAAAATATCTTTTCACTTGACCTTTCAGATTATTCAAACTTATTACAAGAATCTTATTTTTGAACAAATGAACAGTCACTAAGATGTCTGCCTTCAGTGTGAGAATATTCATACTAAATACATCCTTATAATTGCAATTCATTTGCTGCATCCAAATTTAGGAGGGGGGGGGGGAGAAAGGATAAGATGAAACTTTGTCAGGAAAAAAAATTACAGAATTTAAAGATGAAAACTTGGTCACATATAAATCTTGAATTGATATGATTGTCACATGAAATTAAAAATAAAACACAAATATCTTTATATTTTTCTTAATCAATAAAGTAATTCATAAATAAAGACTTTTTTGGTCTTCCCCATGTCTAGACCTCTATCAAAAATATAAGGATATATTGATTATCACAAATATAAGAATATGTGTGATTTATTGTTAGTAACGTAAATATACATGTTGTATTTCTAAGAACAGTGTACCCATTGGAGGGTTAATGCACTCAGAAATATCAAAATATCAGAAAAAGGGAAGATGCTGAATACATCGGAAAGTAGAGACATGATAAGCCAAAATTGAATTGACCTGACAGTCCTGGAACTCGCAAAGAGATTTTGAAAAATAACAGTATGCACTCAAAAAGCAGGAAACAAATTTATCATCTTTGTATACGCTCTCAGGGATTTAACTAACAGGGTTTTCAAAATTAATTCTAGATAATTACAGTTTTATACTCAAAATATAATTGGTAACCTTCAAATTTGTTTCATATTACATATTTGATCACATCTTCATTATATATAAAATCATTATTATTCCAAACAAACCTTCAGCAGATATCTGCAAGGATTTTGTTACTTTTGTCACAGGGCAAATACAAAAAGTTATAAAACTTTTGAACATTACAGGAAACAAGTTTGCAAGCAAATCATGGATCAATTCTTTATCTGATCAAGAATCTAATCTGATCTGATTTCAACATCATTACTAGAGTTCTGGACTCCATGTCAGTACCATAATAATGATTAATCACCATTTAAAAAAATGTTTTTATTGAAAATGAGATAAGAAAAGTGTAGCTTTGATATAAGCATTAAAATAGGTTCAAAGAACTTAAATAACCTTAATGCAAATTCTGATGATGTAACACCACTGTCAAAACTGAAAAGAATCTCAACCATTTGGCAAAAAAATTGATTCATAATACTAAATACTTTGATCTAATCAATTCTGAGATAAAATCGTGTATACATATTACACAGAACAATGTTACATAAAACTACACAAAGTTCAAAAGAAGTCTTCCACTATGCCTGAAAATCAACACCAATCTTACACAAATTATCACAAATGCTTAGTAAGAAACATTATCTCAAAGTCAACAAGACTTATCTGATACTCATTAGTTCAAGACCCAAAAATATCTCTGCACACTAAACATGCAAAAGGCTCTTAACAGCTCCACTCACATTTCTATTTCTCATCAAGGAATTGTTTGGTTCATATTCTCAATACAGAAGCAGTGTTATTTAAATTTGGCAAGATGTATTTTTATTTTCATGAAGTAACACTAGTGAATTAAATATGTAATATTTTCATGATTGAATAGTTTATTTTCAAAAGGGTACAGGAAACAAAGGATTATCACACAACTTTTGCCCTTTCTAAAATACAGGATACACTTATTAGTTTTTCATTTCCAGAAGCAATGACATGCTTCAACAAACAAAATATGGGAAAGGTAATTTAATATGATAAAATAAATTACAAAATGTAAGTGAAATGCTGAAAACATTTCAATACTGTCAAGATTCTTAAAATGATGAGAAATAATATACATGTCCAGTAATTGCAATACAATTAATGGGTTCTGACAATTTCTCAGTAATTGGTAAATCATTCATTATCAACATAACTTATTTTAAAAATTATGGCCACACTTTTAGAGGTAGTATACTCTGTATTAGACAAGCTCAAGAAGCACTGCAAAAAATCTGATACCTAATACAAATCAAGAGCAGGTACTGTACGAGCAAAAATATTTATTCGTTATTAGTCAAACAAAATACATAAACATTGAATAAATACCTTTTAGGTATATGAATGACATCTAATCCACATGTTGATGACTGCAAGCAATATGTGTCTGGTTCATATGTTGGTGTGGGGTACACTTGTGAAACATACAAGTCTGCATCACCAGTCCTTAAATAAGAATTCAGGTAAAATAAAACACTTGTGTGAGTAAGCACGTATAAAAAAAGAATATTATAACATCTAAAAAAGAATTAACTCAATATTTACAATCGCGTTAATTGACACCGCAAAGGCAACTTACAGAGAGTATAAATAAAGACTGATTGATCCATCGTATGTCAGACTGTAATACGAGTAATTTCCCCTGGCCACTTCACCTGTCACTGACATTAGGAGTTGCTTCTCTGCCATCAAGTTCATAAAGCAAGTAAAGAAGATTATTACTGTAAGCATTTTGACCAATTATAACTCGAAGACTAATTGAACACTATCACTTTCTGGAAATAGATTACTCAAATGACAGAATACGATTTGGTTTGTCCTTCCATTTGCAAATATTCATTACTGTAATTTTGATGGAAACGTTTCATTTCATCGTCGCTGTGTTTCCTCCGTTTCCTAACCACAATGACCACAACCACTACGACGTGCTACACTTGCTTGCACTGTTACAATCGTACGTCCCACTGTCTCCCACCCCCTACTCACTCTCACACGCTATTTGGATGACAAAATATTTATACCGATTTATTGGCCGAAATACATACTATTTAATATTGAAGCATGATTTTATTCTTTGATTTACGCATAACGTTACCGATAACTCCCGATAACATTGCTTGCTTGGTAAAACACGAAATGAAAGAGAAAACTAAATATAACATAAAAGATTATTATGATTATACAATAATATCTATATCTAACCACATATTCTGTATAATGTTCTTTATTAATAAACATTATAAGGATAATTGGTAAAATATCATCAAATAAATATTAAGAACTAACAAGGGCCTTTGTGCGAAACTAGGTAATGTGTGCAGATATAATCAAATACAGTTTTCCTAAAACGTTTTTAAGATTTTTTCGCCCTGATAGCAAGGGCGCATCCACGAGGAGTGAGGGGGAAGGCATGGAGACCATACCCCTTGACTTAGTTTCAGTAGTGGGGATTCTATATATTTCATGATTTCATTTAAATGTCATTTAAAAAAACGACGTTGCAACCTAATTATTTAACTATTGTATTTATAAATATTCATCCGAAAATCTGAACCTAAAAACCTGATTCTTTACCAAAATCTTGTAGGACAAAAAATGTTTGTGTGCTCTGTGGATGCGATGGATCCATTGCATGGCAGACCCAGTATTTCAGTGGACACAATAACATCTTTATTGAAAGTGCCGTTTTCAAGAAGTGATTCTAAAAGAAGAGAAATATTAAATCCGTTTGTTTTTTATAATTTAAATTTTGAATGTCACCATTAGGACCTAAGGTCATTGACTTTCAAATTCACATTCTGATTCCTTGCCTGAATTTGTCTGGACCTCCCCAAGTTTTGAACCTACCGTCCGCCACTGTTCCATAGTTTCCTGAATTTATTCTTCGCTTCTAAAACGGGTCTTTCTTTTCTTCTCCTTTCAGGTGGTTGCCGCTGCAAGATCTTGTGTGACAATCTGCTTTTCAACATTTTCTGAGTATGGCCATACGATTGTAAGGCTCTATTTTTCAAGGTCTTCGTAGTAGAACAAATTATATTCATCCTTCTCATTATTTCTTCACTTCGCTCATCACATCCTTCTTTTAGACCTTTGTCAGAAAGTTTCCAGTTAACTTATCTCCAATTTTACGTTGCGCTTCAATGTTTTTGTAAAGTTTTTAATCAGGTTAATCCATTTTTCTTTTATATCAACTCTTCTCATTGCTTCCCATATTTGCATATATTTTTCCTCGGGGCATTATTATATGCTTTATGGAGGTCTAAAAAGGACATAAATATTCATATTTTTCCTGTTATGTTTCTCTATAATGTAACTGATACATTGGATGTTATCTAGACTTGATCGACGACGTCTAAATCCACTCTGCTCTTCACTCAATACAGATAGTTTCTTCTTTTTTTAATTTATTTATTTATTTTTTGTTGTTACTTACAATACTAGACAACAATCTTGCTGTTGATAGTATGAGACTGTAATTCGCCCACGATCGTTTGTCTCCCTTCTTAAATATTGAAGAAACATAGGATGTATTGCATTCTAGAGGTGGATCCCCTACTTTTATCTTATTACACATTTTCTTGAAGCACCTGACAACCACATCTCCAACATATTTATGGACATCCATTTTTATATTTCCAGATCCTGCAACTTTATTGTTTTTTCTTGGCGTAGTGCCTTCTTAATACCACCCTCAGGTATTTTGATTTTGTTTCCTTCAGTATCTCTTATTTTTTCTACTCCCTTGTATTTCAGTCTGCTTTCTTGTACAGTTTTGAAATCAAAAATTGATCCCGACCGTCTGGGATGGAGCCCCGCTTTCGCACGGCTTGAGCAGCCCTTGACCTGACGAAACCTTGCAAGCGGAGACTCACAACCAGCCGCAGCCAATCTCAACGGGAAGAGGGGGTAACAACATTACATCTTAGAAAATGACGGATCTCGCTAGTTCAGATGGTGAAATATTTTCAAATTAAAATATATGGAATGAAACAAAATTATGAACATGAAAATAAATTCATTGAAATAAATATATAATCGCATACATTTAAACAGTGTTAACACAATTCTTTTTGAAGAAATTACGTTGATATGAGATTAAGTAAAACTAATTTTAGAGCAATCACTTTCTCATTCACATTTTAATTTCAATATTATTTCATACACAATCCATGACTTTTATGAAATATCCAATTTATAGTAGATTTTATCGATAAGAAAACGTTTATGATTGCGGGTTTGCAATTGTCCATGTCTATAGAATTTGCAAAAATTGCAAAATTGTGTATTTCTCGAATTGAGGGAAGACGTCTAGGGAACCATTTCAACAAAACAGCAAAATTCAAAGATAAAGTGTATATTTGTCATTGAGCAACAATTAAACTAAGTATTTAGCAATAATTTTGCGTCTTTTGTCAAAATTGGTATTTTGCAATATTAATCTGAGAGATAATTTGTGGAAACTCACCGGCAGGAATAGAGCAAATTTCGAAATTGTTTATAAAATTGTTAATTGTTGCAAAATTGTTAATTCGTAGTTCTGAGACATAAGGAACACTTTCCACTTCAGAATTGCAAAAATTGGAATTTGTTATAAAATTTACAAAATTTGTAAGAAATTGTATTGCCTTTTCTAAACTGCCTTTAAACGAAATGTAATATACCGCAATTCGAACGACTCAATTGCCTATCGTTTTCGAGAGATGTAATTATTTATAAGAAATTAACATGACAACTGTCATTGTTTTGGCAGTCAATCCTTTCGCTGTTCTCACGCAAGTTTATTTTTCAAGCCGTTTTGCAATTGCTCGATGGACTTCTCCGCTACCTGCGCTTGAAGTTCGTAACGTGTGTGGTGCGGCCACAGCGCTCGCATATATGGATTGCGGTGAACATTGTTTCTGCTTTGGTATTGCTGTTTCTCAAAACTCTATCTTTCCATTTTATTCTAAACACTTTAAAGTTTCCGTTTTAAAACAATTACCACATACATTTCAAAAATACTACTTGAGTCGGCTGCCACGCAATCCTGAACTTTGGAGCAAGAAGGAGTCAGGAATTAGTTTAGCTAACCTTCCAGAAATACCTCCCCTGAAAATTGTCCCTTTTTCTTCGTGCCTTTTATGGCGGAAAAATCGAAGCTTATAAGTACGAATCATACCACACCCTATCACCGGGAGAATGCCTTCTTCCGCCATTTTTAGGAGGCCAATTATTAACATTTAAATTATGTATGAAATTTTGAAAAGTAATTCAAATTAAATATAAAAAATTGTAGTTTTGCATATATTGTAATATAATATTAATGTAGACATTCTTCCAGCATGTACATATGCTTCCTGCTCCCTATTATCCAGACGTTCTAAAAATGTAAATAGTACATTGTTATAGTACTCTCAATTTTATTCTAATTAGTAGATGTAGCAGCAGATAGCATCAGCATGGAGTATGCGAAAAAGTAATAATACCGTTATAGTAAAGTGTTACGATAGGTATATGTTTATGTACACAAAATTTATGATTGAAGGAATGGGAACGTAAATATGCATTTAAGTAAATTTCAATGAAAGTGTAAGTTTGGAATTAAAACATATGTTTTTAAAATTCAGTTATCCTAAATTCAGAAATGTTCATGTGCATTCAGTGGCATTCTTTTCTCATACGACCCTGACACCTCAATGCTTTCTGAAACTACCCTCGGAACCGAAGTCGGTTGTCTGAGGACATTGCTTATCAAGTCAAAATCATGAAGACTTGAGATTTTACAAATGTTCCCGAAACGAAATACATAAATCCCAAGGTCACCTTAATAGAAACTTAGAAAACGAGCGTATGAAAGAATCACTCGACATTTCAACAACGAAGCAACTTCCTCATAATAGTCACAATATCTACATTATCATTATTTTCTTTTCTTTTGAATGTGCCCATGTTTGTGAAAAGAAAGTAACACAATCGTTAAAATTAAAAATAACTATTGTTAGGATGAATAATTTCTTATCCCCTAATGGTTTGTAGAAAATCATATCAGGTTAGTATTATTGGCAATGAAATTGTATAGTTTTTCTGGATTTGAAATCACATCTTGAATATTTTTCATCAATCATGTTACATAGGATTTCTAATCTTTATATTATATATGCAATTACATTGCCATTGAGTTCTGACGGGCAGGCATTCGGATTCTGTAATTGGTGTTGTATATTTATGTATAATCTGCTGTGGTGTGTGTGACAGCTGGTCATTTAATTTTTTCTTTCTCGTAAACGTACGGAGGAACATAGCATACGGAGTGTTTAGATATTAATGCATGTAATGCTGCAGCAAATAGATCTCGAAATTTCAACGGATAAACATGTTTTGGGGTCTTCTGTTACTAAGGGAGAATTTTTTTGTTGTTTCTTCTTTCTCACCTTACGAAGTTCTTCATAAGAAGAGAAAGTTATGAAATCGTGCATCTGAAAACGGCGAATTTTCGGCAAAAAAATGCCGAGCCCTCGTATCGAAGAAAGGGATCTCTTCAGTTGCTAAATTTAGAAAATAAAACTAATAATAATACCTCTAAAACGTGGTAAAGCGAGAATCTACGTTTTGTGGGCCCTTGATACCAAAAAATCGATTGACAGCAAAACATCTATCTGTCGATCTACTGTAACCACCGACTCACCCGATTACCTGATTCCTTCGGCGATTCAGCTTTGCCCGGCTGCTTCGTCGGCAGACTCCCTAGAGGGAGGCATGCATGATTGCCCAACTACGTGAGAGAAAGACTTAGTCATTTTCATAAAACTACTTTAATCACTTTAATATTGGGTGTGGGTGAAGCCCAGTAACATGAATAAACTTACAACTAACTTAAAACTAATCTTAACTTAGTAACGGCCGGTATGGCCAGAGTTCATCTTAGCTCCGGTGTCTTTGCCCTCCCGGGCGGTCGTGATCCACTTCACAGGTGCGGCGTTCGGGCATCCCAGCGCCCGGCAGGTCTGGCGGCGGGCCGCTACGCTCAGCTTGCCCCCCGGTCCCTTTGTGGCGGCCCCTCGGCGGTCACGGCGGCTGCTTCGGATTAGGCCAGCGGCGGGCGTCGGCCGGCGGCTCCTCAGCGGCGTTTGGTACGCGCGGCGGCGGGAATGCGCCCGGACGATGACGGGTTGCTTCGCGATATAGTTTTTCACGTCCCCGGCTCGTAATCACATGGCGCTCTCGGTCAGGCACTCACTAGTTGTGTCCCGTCCCATCGGCCGGCTGTCGTCCCACGAGTCGGGCTGCGATGTGGCGAGGCGGCGTGGCATTCGGGGCGTCCAGGAACGAATTAAGTGGCCTCTCAACTGCCTCAAAAGCATGTTTCCTCGCGGCTGCCTCACAAACAAGTTATGTCGCGGTTGCCTCCAATCCAGGTGTCCTCCTTACTACCTCCGACATAAGTGATCGATCCTCTCATCCGCGGTCCCTCAGGAAGGCTCGCGTACCACGTGATTCCTCCCCCGCATTGTCTATTTTTATTGGTTGTCGCGCCACCTGTAATCCTTCCGCCTATTACGGCGCCAGCGGCGAAGCCGCCCCCGCTAACTTCCCCCGAAGTAACTTACGTCACCTAACTTCTCAGAAATAGGAGCGGGTAATTCCTTTGGTCGGTTAAGGGTGTGTGGGTGGCGTACGTTCCCACGCGTCATAAGGGGTGCGCCCGGCGTGGGTCTCGCTGAACAAAGGAGGCGCTATTTCCTCCTTTCCCTCGTCGCGCTAATCGGCTCTTACACAGGTACAGCCGGAAACGGCATTTCCGGCTGCTCTTAACGGCGGCGCGGTTCATAAATAAAATATATATTGCTCGTGTCGTCATCCGCGATGTGCGACCGTCCCATTACACTACCCGTCCGTCAATCCGTCTGTGGTCAACGCCACGCAGAAAACGTTCAGGCGATTTTCTTGAATACCGATTTTTCCAATTGATCTGAATGAACTCGTGGCTTTGGGGATATCAAATGGATATTTTGATTTTTGAGGGTACTTCACATGAAGTCTCAAAAACTTTTTCAGAATTTTCTCAAAAACAGTTCCAAGTTTTTAACCAAACTGTAATCGGATAGCGTGAAGAACGCTTAAGAGAATAGGGGTGGTCTTACTTTCGTTAAAATCACTGATTTTTTTAAAAAAATTGAATAAGCACACATTTTCAGCGTTTTCTTACAACTATAATATTAAAGATAGAGATTTTTTTGATTTGTCAAGTTAAATGAGCTTTTGTCAAGTCATATATAGGGTGGCCCATTTAACGTGACAAATTAAAAGAACTCGAAAACATGCAAAAAATTCCAAAGACAAAAAATAATATCCCTAAGGAGGACATCTGTCAAACCTAAAATCAAACGTCCCCGCTCACCCCTTGAGGGTGAGGCGAGCGCCAACTTTGAAATGCTAAATGGGACCCTCCGCTTTATTGCAGATTCGGATTCTTCACTAAAAAAAATACATAAGTTCGTTCTAAAATACTTTTGATTGAGAGAGGTGATCTGATTATTTCCATGTACTTCCAGCGGTTTCAAATCGCTCGCGCTGGCGCGGCAAAGGGCGCTGGCGGCACTCTCTCGCCATGGGCGCCAGGAGACGCCAAGAGGCGCTGGCGCTGCGAGGCGTCATGCTTCGTTGAGCGCACGAATCGGAGGCTGCGCTTACAGGGCGCATTCGAAAAGATGGCATCCGCGCGATCCCAGGCGTCGTGTCAGCGACGCGGTCAATACGAAGAAGCTGTTCAGCTTTCAATAGTGGTAGACAAGGCAAGAGGTAGCGACCTTCACAGGCGGTGCTGGCGGCCGGCGATGACTTTCCTATGTATGAAAGTAAAGCTAAGTTTCGTTCGGGGTGTCGAAAGAAAGGACCGTGTAACGGGACTGTAGATCGCTGGAATTAGACGAAGGTACTGGGAGAGAAAAGAATTAGCAGTGTGTTCAGTTATACATATTTTAGAGATTATCGATTACTGAAAACTGAGAACTAAAAGGAGAGTAAATTGTTGTGTGGTGTGAGAATAAAATGTAAAGTGGTGAATTCAAACAGTGGTGGAATTTCTTTGTGTAAATAGAATTTGTCATTTTGAATGATGAAATATTGGTGTTAAATAAAGGGGAATATTCACGATGTAAATGTATTTTAACGTGTTACAAAATGTGGATTTAAATAATTTTTTGAGTAATCTGAAATTAGACAATTCCGTTAGTTGAATTCAAATGGGATCCCAACTAACAGCTATGATAACAGCGTTTTAATAGGAGCTTACTCTACTTAGTTACAGTATCCCGACCAGACATCAGTTTTCTTGTAAATTATCTCAGCACTTTCAACACTAAACCAATGGAGAGGCACTGGTAGATGGTAAAACGTTTATTCGCCTATTTGAAAGGAACAATCAACTGTGGAATTTTCTTCAATGGACCCAACAACCTGATTGAATACACTGACTTGGATTACGGAGGAGATTCTGAAACCCTTCACTCAAAAGTCGCGTTCTTTTTATACGCGGTGGACCAGTTGCATAGTATACTCCAAAGCAGAGATTAACGTCGACTTAAACTGCAGAAGCAGAATACAGAGCAGCTGTATCTGCTATTGATGACTTATGTTGGATTCGTCGCATGGGAAGAGAGTACAAAATACTGACGTCCAGACAACTCACAACCATTTGGGTCTCTTGGCTAGTAGACATGGGGATGCGATCATAGTATTACAGATTGAACGCATAATTCCACGTGCATATTTAAAGTGTGCGTTATTCTACTTTACTCTAAAGTATTTTAGAAGTTTATTTTTCAAATTGCATACCTCCTGAATCTTCCCTGAAAATCACCAATTTCTCATTGAATGCACTAACTTACATAAAACAATAACACTATAAATTGAACCATAAAGAGTACATACCTAATTTTACTTTCTCGCACTTACTAACGTAAGTAAACATAAAAAAGTACATACTTAATTTTTGAACTCGAGATGTATTCGCCGCTGTTTTCTGGCAAATACAGCGCTCACGTCGTCTTCATTTGAGGGCTCGACCGAAGATCGTCCAACAATACATTTTGTTTTAATCTTACCCTCGCAAATCCAATGATCACTTTCATATATCTTATCACTAAAATGTCGCACACAATTCTTAATTTTTGTGGTAATATTCAATGGTCGTGCATCACTAATTACCTTCAGTTTTTCGGAGTATGAGAAAAATTGAAGGAATTTGAATTTTTCCTCCTATTCACACTCCTGCCACAATTTCCAGCCACCTTCTCCAGAAAAATTGGTACGTAATGGAACATTTCTGATTTAATTTTCTCAAACAGCGTGTGTGCTTTAGTAAAGAACACGTACTTTCATCTCGCGGCAAGATACAAAGTTCAAATTCGTTGTACTGTGTAATTATCCAGCACATTTAATGATTTAGATTTATCGTTTAAAGTTTTATTAATTTTATAAAAATGAATAGAATTCAAATTCACAAGCTCAATTAAACAAAAAGAAACTTTTCGTTATCCGCTGTTCTTATAGTGCTTTAAGTATGTATTTTTTTAAATACACATATTTTATGTATTTAAATACATCTCCTAAGTACATGTTCAAAAAACTCAAAAATTCAGTTTTTCAAAATGTATTTAAAATATGTATTTGAAATACAAGTATTTAAATACTGCCCAACCCTGGATCAGGGTATCAACTGATGTCACTGCAGTTCCTCTGGCAGGGAGATCGTATAGTTCGACAGTCGTAGAATTTTCGACCGCAGATATAGGAATATATGATATAGGCATAGATGAATCGAGATCACCCCCTGTCTGGAGGAGAATTCTAGTAGCCGGTTGCTTTGGTCAGTAGTTTTCAATGTTTTTTCCTGGCGAAAGCCGGAGCGATACCCCAACAAACGGGCGACGTATCGCATGCGATCTTCCCTTCCTCTTCCTTGTCCTATCCTCGTCCCTTACTTACACATATTTATACTTGTTCCGGCTGGGACTGCGCACTACTTGTGGGAGATACTTGGTTGGAAAATGCCCGCATGTCACCGCATGTAGGTCCATTATCATTATTATTTCTAGCATTAGTAGCTTAGTAGAAGTTGCAGCAACTTGCTGAATGCAACTTGCACAAGGCAGATTATAAATCCTGAGGACACCGGACTCCCAGGGAGTCAATGTTGCCTTCAATGAATTGTGGCATCAGTAACTCCGCGCCTCCCTCCGAAGGACAGCGGATTACGCCAGCGAAATTATTATTATTATTATTATTATTATTATTATTATTATTATTATTATTATTATTATTATTATTGCCGCATAATTACATCGAGCGAGGAAAGACAGGAACAAACGTGGCAAAATACATGCACCACACTTACGGGAGTCCTGACCTCAGTTGAGGCGCTCGAAAACACAAATCAATCAATACGAGGAAAATTTAATAAATGTTTTTATGAAAATGTTATTAAAATATGACTATAAATACGTTTTGAATTATTATTCATTGATTTTTTTGTGTTTTCGGGAGCGTCAACTGCTATGGACATTAGCCCCGTGAGTGTAGTGCATATTTTTATCACGGGAGGGGGCGATGATCTTCCGTCGCTTGTTAGTGATATCTTGCGACGACCTACATGTCGACTTGCGGGTTTTTACTCTACCAGCTATCTTCCACCAGTGGGCATCGCCCCAGCCATAACAACTTCAAAGACACTGACTGGTCTCCCGACATGTGTAATACTGTAATACATGTAAGTGTATATGTAAGTGAGGGGTGGAGATTGGAGAAACCGTTGTAAACTACGACAAAAGCGACCGGCTGTTATACTTCGGATTTTATAATGTGGTGCGTGAAGGCCCATCGTCACTAAAGAATATCACGGTGGAATATGTCACGGCATTACGCATTTTTCTCGGTCTTACCGCTAGATTTTGCATGCTCGCGACCATATCAACACAGCCTAATAACAGTTATAAGAGTGTCGTATTAAGCAGATCTCGATGCGGTCTCGATTGGTCGAGATCATGCGGCATCTAACGGCATGGGAAAGACGCGAAATGACGTGACACGTTTTGTCGTGAAGACGGGCATTCACGCGCCACGTTATAAAAATTGGAGTATAGAATCCTTCTCCAGACAACGTTTGAATTCGAACTAGCTATCTAGGTAGTGTCACCGTTGAGACTCGAACCCTAGGACCTCCCGGTCAGATAAGTTGATGCCCTGAATAAGCAGCGACATAAGTTGATGCCCTGAATCACTTAACCCGGAACTTAATGTAAAGTACTCTTCAAAAATTGTCGATGGAAAAACGTTATGTGCCCGTCACCAAAGTGTTTCTGCCAATTAGGATAGGACTATTTTCATCCCTTTTAGCTATACTACTGGAATCGCAACAGAACTGATGGCGTTACGATAACAGTTCGGCCGCTCATAGAAGGGAAAGGGGTGATGTATGAGGGGAGGAAGTGAAGCTATTTCCCAAGCATTTTGTAGGCTAAACTGCTCTGAAAACAGCTTGTTGTGCTGACCTGACCTACAGGCCACGCACGATCTTCCTCTTGCAAGTAGTCCTTACCGCCAATTGAATTTCAAATTCAAACTCCATTGATAGAGAAAACCACCGACAAGAATCAGATATTTATGATACATCGAACTGCGGATTCAGAGGGGATCATAGCCACCCCCGAAAGGCCTAGAGTTTTCGTTTGCTATCTTTATTTATTTGCCAAAATTATTTAAATATTTATTTACGTTATAATTATACAATTATTTAAAAAAATTATATTGTGTAATATCATATATACATTACAAGAATAATATACAATATAATAACAAATGTTTATTATTTAACAAAAATCTTTGATGGCCCCCTCGAAAATGATCGGCCGGATCTGCCCCTGATCAGAAGTGATATAATTCAAACTCTGTGACAGATGCAGCATACGCCGACGAGCTTCCAAAAATTTCTTTAATTTTCAATTCAGTTTACCGCTGATTTCTGCGTAAGTGGCGTGCATCTCATCATTAGGGTACCTTTCTGTAATCGGCTACCTTCTCATCAAAATTTTCTGCAATACCTTTTTCCTTCGATTCGTCTTTCGCGCTTGTCAAAATAACTTAGTCAAATTGCTTGAACGTGGCGATTATTTCCTCTCGGTGTTAGCATTTAATTATCAATTAGAGAGGCATATTTCGATAATAAATAGTGGTCTTTGCTTTTTCTTTACAATAATGTTGCTGTGTATTTTACTCTCTTATTTTATTCTATTCTTGCAGACTGCAGTTGTCTTTGAAGTATACCACGGGAAGCGCCTTTCTCTTGTGTACAGGTAGCAAGGCATCCAATATCATGTAGTGTATTTTGACATGTAGTACCAACATAAGCGTCAATGAATGTTTGGTTGCGTTTGAAAGTGAAAGATTTTCCCATTTGAATTTTTTCTATAGCATTTTTACGTCATATTCTTGTTTTCATGCTTTGAAATTGAAAAAAAATTATTAGACAGTATTTACTTGGCAAGGAATGAAGTAAATTTTAATACTCGAAGATGGCCGTAAATGCGTATGTTAAACTTAATGGCTAGGGGTGAACGCAACGATTCACGTTTTTCAGAAGTGCTTGTGTACATCGATCATTTCAATGTGTTCTATGAAGGCAATAATTCAAGCGTTGCTGTCTATCTGGTAATAGTTGTTAGTTATTTTATGTAATTTTGTGTTTAAATTTCCGTCTGTTATTTGTTTATTCGCGTAGGTGTTAGGATGTACTGAAGTATTTTTTTTATTTTTTATTATTATAATACTAATTAACTGTGGTCATTATTTATATAAAATTCAACTATTAATACGTGCCGTGAAGTGTAAAGTTACTGCTTGACATTTTACATTATTGCATTGACATTTCTTATTTGACAATACACTACACATTTTAATATTAAAAATATTTTAAAAATAATTTAAAAAAAGTAATTGTTACGTGTTTTTTTATAATGGAAACTTAAAACACAAAGACAATATCAGTTTACGCTGGTACATACCAATGACACCTGTTTGGATATTAGCAGGTGTCAGTTTATGGGAAGTTAAATATTTATGTCTGTTTTGACTGTTTTGCACTTTTCATTCCTTGAAATGGAAATCAACAGTGTCAACTTCATCACTTTCAATGTCTCTGAAGAAAACATGGTTGATAGCATATGGTAGTACATCACTCTGCAAAGCTTTGATTATTGTGTAAAAATGCCAATGGGTTTGAGTTATTGCATGAAATTTTTATAAGCCCATCTGTACCAAACTGCACATCTGTAAATTCTATTGTATGTTTGTTGAATATCTCTTTAGCAGATCAACCTTGTCCCTCCTTGTGAAGTGTCGTTTTATGTCTGTCACTGGGAAAAAGTTATCTGGGATGATTTTTAGTTGACATCAACAAACCAATACGTTTATATAAGAAAATTAAAATATTTTTCTAACCAAAAGTAAATCACATTTAAATAGTCATGCATTTTTTTGTTTGTGATAAATTGCTTGGCATCATTTTGAAATAGTTAATTCCTCTAAAAGAGAATTTTCCAAGCATGGTTTGCTTTTATCAGTAGCATTTATACCTTAACAACATTGTGTCAGATTCCATAATAATTTTGAAACCATTTTAAAGTGTATTTGAGGAGTATTTGCTTATATTTTGAAGTTATTGATCCTGGGCCATTCATATTTAAAGACAATTAAAACTACGGATGTACAAAGAGGCTGCATAATTTGGGTAGTAGTGTGAAATGTTTTGAAAATTATTATATGTAGCTGTTAGAAATATCTTCTTAAGTCTGAAGTTTTACAGTCGACCATTTCTTGTTGATTACTTTCTTGAGTCACTCTTAATTGTTTTCCTTTATTTTATGTAACACCACATATTGTGCATTTTAAAATATTGTTTCAAGTTTGTGCAGTATTAATTGGCATACACTGGTGTGACACAGCTTTTAAAATTTGAGCAGACAGCTTTTAAAATATTTAACAAAATGGTTGTATTTGTAATGTTTCAGCAACTTTGTTAGATGTGCTTCCACAATGATATTTTGTGCACAATATTAATTATGCACAATAGAATATTAAATTAATTTCATATTAATTTAAGATAATGATAATGCTAATTTACATGTATGTTTCTCGACTAGATAATTTTTGCACTGGACTTGGAAATTTATTTTTTCCTCTTAATATGTATTGAATATAATAATGTAGGAGATTACGTGAATGATATCAAATGTTATTAACAATTTCAGATGCTTGAGCTTATCACTGTTATTTTCCCATTTTGTGGAATCCAGATGGTTAATTCCTTGTTATTAAAATATCTGAAATTTATTAGTTGTTTTTTTTGACAGTGATATTTATCCTCTTAAGAATTATGCTAATGTCTGCGTAATATGCGAAACAAGTAATGTCACATTTACTTGTTTGGTATAACTCCTCTGTAACTAACAGTTTCGTAGATTTTATCTCTATGTTTTCTGGAAAACTTGCAACTTGAAACTGATAATTGCGAGAGAAGTAGGTACAGTTCAATCACAAAAGTGCTTTCTAAGTGTAAATGGTACACAGTTTTTAATCTTTGAAAAATGCAATCTACACCAATTTGCAGGTTTTGATTTTAGTTTTTGATGAACATGACTATTCACTAAATCTGTAAATGCAGTTTCAATATCCATGTTGTCAGCAAAAGCAGTTTTCACCTAAGAATCAATGGTTATAACTATCTTTCCCAATTCTTTCATGTGTTATGCATATTACTAATATTTTCTCATTGTACACTGGGACTGATATAAACATTTTTTTCTGAAATTGTTGGAGCTTTTTAAATGAAATTTGTTTTTATGTATTAATTCGTTTTTAGTGTAGTTATTTAATGTTAATGATAATTTTTAAAAACATTGATACATTTTTTAATGAAATATAGTAAAATATTTTCATGTACTGAGCATATAAAGAATAGATCACTTCATAATACATAATATAGTACTATATTATACATGTATAAAATTTCATATATTGTAATCTATAATAGTTTTTTTTTTAACTTCTTTTTCAAGACCATATGTAAATTACTTCAATCATTGGAAGTTTGATACAAGTTTGTTTTTCATGCACGATAATCTCACATTATTTCAATACAGAGTAAAATGTGTTTGTGAAAATAGGTATAAACTATTTATTTGATATTTAAACTTTCTGAAAGATAATTATTAAAATCATACTAGAATAAATTTTAATTTCAAAGAAGTACTTTTGTTAAGAGTCTGCATCTATTTATTATTATTAAAATACGTTAATGAAGATAAAATGACAACTTGTAATATTATTTTTGTAATAAAAATGTTTAAATATTTCAGATTAATGTTGAGGATACAAAATGGATCCGTTGTACCTATCATACTCCCAGGCCAATGGTGTGCCTCAAGAGTCCAAATTGGCAACATACATGGTAAATATGCCATATTATATTGTTTAATGCTTCTTATTCAGTATAATCTTGATAGATTAAATTGAGCCAGGCAATAATTTTATTAGGTTATTTACTGTTAGTGTCATCTTTACTCTATTTGTTAGTGAATATTGCATGTTACTCTCAAATGCTGTGAGAGATGCGAGAGTGCATTTTCTCATAGTAGGCAATGTATATAATGTATACAATTGAAATGAATGCGAGTATATTTTGAAACTTACGAAACATTTAGTATACTGTTATCAGTAACACTTCTTTGTTTAGAATAATTATTATTTAGGATATTTGTGATGTGAAGAAGAGATACAGGAGTGTGAAATAAGCTTTAAGTGGAATAAGTTTGGTTTAGCTCAATTTAAATGAAGTTTATATAATGCGGACCATATGAAATGAATAGATATGCAGAGACCAAATTATTTTCAAAGATGTGTGAATTTATGGTAAAGAAACCTTTGATTTGTTTGTGTGGTGTCAATTTTTGGGGTTAATTGCTTATTTAGACCTACAAAAGCCGACATGTCGGGCAATACCACTTGTTATGTTTTAACAACAGGAACACTGCCACCTCCCCAGATATTCTACGTACCATATTCACGGGATTAATTAGTATTTTTTTCTTTTATGGATAACGTTTAATTTCCCCTGCTGAGTAATGGGCCTATATGTACTTAAAAACAACATTAATTTCATAAACTCTAACAATATAAGTTGAGTTGTCTCTCTAATTAACACTATAACAATGATTTGAGTTTATGCTAGAAGAGTAGTTCAAATAATCCCATAGTAACAAAATGTGTTGCTTTTTATTTACACTGTCAGTTTATTCACTAGGACATTCCGTCAATGGAATTGGTCTTGAGTAATTAGTTTACTATTGATAATAGAACAATCTCTGTATGACTCAAGCAATCATTAATATTGGTTATTGCTGGTTGCCAATGAAAGGCTTAATTACCATTATTGGATATAAAAATGGAAGGATATTGTGAGATTCTATTCCTATTGTCTGGACTGAATGCTTTGGTAAATGTGCTGAGACATCATGAATGTGTAAATCTATAAGTTGTAAATAAATGGTAATTAGCAGAGTTAATATGTAGATTTTTTTTTCAGTATAGCATTAGATTACTGAATCCAAAGAGGACAACTTTTAAACATGGGGCTTCTTTGATTATACTATTCGCTGCCAGAAAAATGACATTTTCTTGTGATGGTGTGTAATATCAGCGAGGGTCATAAGTTGCTTTTGTTGTTCATGATGTTTGATATGTAGGGAACAGGTTTTCATGTAAGTACATATTTTTACGGGGTGCAAGATTCCTGCATTCAATAATAATTTTTAGAGTAAATACGACATTCTGAATTAATTAAAACTATTTTTATTTTATATATTTGTATATGTTTTGGTATAATTACTAATTTTCATACATTTTACCTATTACAAGATATTATTAGTTACATTTTAACACATTTATTTGTTGATACAGAACATTGCATATACCAATTTTCAATGCATGTTATTTGAATCGTTTTACAAACCCATGCAATGCGCTTCTATTAATGCCGGATCTTTGCTATTATCGAACTCATCCCCCCTCTCCCGCTTCTTGGAAACTGCTTTGGTATCCGTCAGACTTGAGGATAAGCGGATGTATGTGAAGCAGAAGTAACTTCAACAATGTACTTGCTCATGTTTCATTAGCTCATGGGTAACTATCAAAAACTAATGTTTTTCAGATCAATATCTTATCTTGTTGTGGGAGTTTTGGGTTATTTTCCCTTTAACCCCCCCCCCCCTTCCACGGTAAACCATCACTAGCTACACAGTAGTATTCACTTGAGCGCCGGCTCCTTGTAGTGAATGATTACATCTGTATAGGTAGTACTTTCTTTCAGCATTCCTGAATTGATGCTAAGATCTGATCACAAGGTTCTGTACTCTGAAAACTTGTAGAGAGAAGTTTCAAACATTTCAATGAATTTTTATTTTAGACATTTTCAATTTTTTCTTACATATTTTGAAAAAACATAAATGCATGTATATTTTGCGTTTTTTTTTTCATTTTTTTTTTTTTTTTTTCATTACAATGAATTTTGCTCCCTATTGATGAATGTGAGTGACTCATTATCATTGTTGAGTAAATTCATCTAAATCTCACGAATGTGTTGCTGCTGAAAGGGGAACATTCTGTGTAGCAGATTTTGAGAGTTTATCCTTTATTTGGTTCAGTGATAGCTGTTATTCCTACATATATTTATTATTTGAGTGTTATATAAACTTCAAATAAACATACCAGAATGATAAATCTATGTTTAGATTATAAAAAAATAAATTTTATTTGACAGCAGTTTTGTTTCCTTTACCCGATTTTCATGGAGAATAAGTAATAGGTATTATTGTTTGCTGATCATTTCAAAATGTACTCGTTTCATTAAAATTCAATATCGCCCCAAACTGCTAGTAATTTTATCTTTCTGCACGATTCACATCATCAGAAGTGTCTTTCGTAAATTACAGTATTATTGATGTAGTAGTTTATACTTGTGGAAATGATGCATGCATCTATATATTTGATAGTTTGCTGCATGAAGACTTATTGTGTTTTTTAATGTTCAGGCTGAAAATGAAACTATGTATTTTTATAAAGATATACTCATTCATCCTGTAACATTCTTTTTATGTGTAGCAATGCAACCTTTATTTGAATTTTTATTCATGAAATATACTTTTGTAATATTGTAAGTATTTTGATGATGATGATGATGATGATTATGATGATGATGATGATGATGATTATTATTATTATTATTATTATTATTATTATTATTATTATTATTATTATTATATTTTTTATTAAATTAATGTTTTTTTAATAATGTAGAATTGTAATTTACTATTTTTTTGGAATATTTTATAATTGCTTTCCTTTCAATTGCATTGTTCACCAGGTAATCCGAATAACAAAACAGTTAATAGGATAAAATGTAAGTGCGTAAATGTGAATTTGAATTATATGTATTGTATCCGTGACATATTACAAACCCACTTTTATGTAAATGTGTGCAAGTTAATTGAACAATTGTGTAGGTGAAAAAAAGTGTCCCGTAAAAAAATAACTGGAAAACGTTATGTATTCTAAGTACCTATCCTGTTATTTCAATTATTATTTATATTATTGTTATAGTAATTATAATTATTTTCTTAACAGTGGCATGACCTATCTGCTATTAATTTCAATCAGTTTTCTCAGAAATAGATTTGGTGATTCTGGTGGGGTTAACATATTTTGTGAAACATGTGATCCTATAACAATATTTTGATTGATGCAATCCTTGTTGCTTTGAAATTTAGATGAATTTTTTTCAAGTCTCGAATTATTGATCCAAGGGTGTAAGGGTATATCAACAGCATTTACATCAGATGTGGTTGACATCAATGAAATTGTCTAGATCTGTATAATTCAGTGTCTGAATGAGCTAAATATATTGTGTAGTAGTGCCAAAGAAGTAATTTCTTTTTTATATCATATCTGGCTTATTTGAAATATTGTGTTGATTAAACATTAAAAATTATATCAAGATAAGATAACGACAAAAATTTAAATTATTATACTTACTGATCATAAAGTGTAATACACCACTGAAGATTAATTACTGGTTTATGTGCACATTGCATCATTCATTGTTTTGTCCTAGTGCACTGAAATCTCTACATATTTGTTGCTGGCTGCAGTAGTTATAACAATCAAGCATTTGCAATGCATCCCATGAAGGTGTTATCTATGATTTGGAGTCGTTTCTGAGGCACTTCACTAAGTGGCAAGTTACCGATGATCAGCCTTCCCTGGCTATAGAAAGAAGTTCAATCTCTTTTCATTTTCTCCCTTCTCAGCAAAATATGCACTTGCCCATACGTGAATGACAATTTTCCATATCATTTAAGAACTGATTGTGAATATATGTGCATTTTCCTTTTTACTTCAAGTTTTTCCTTGCTTATATTATGTTGGACAATAAACAAATGCTCAACACCCTTAAATGTCTATTGCAAATTTCTTACCTTTTTTAATTTTTATCTCTCATCGATGCACCGTTGTCAATGTTTTACCCAATCATTGAAGTCCTGGAAATCGTCAATGGGAATCTCCTTCAGTGTGGTCGTCACAGCTGCTTTTCCAACCTCCAGCGTCCCATGCCAAGTTCCTTTCACGGTTCTTTTGATCCTTGGGAACAAAAATAAGTCATCGGGTGCCAGATCGGTATTTGCGCAGCGGCTGTGGCAGCGTTGACCCCTCACTTTGGCCTGTAACTCGAGAGACAGTGAGCGCGGTTTGGCTTGACGCGGTCATTGTTCACGATCCAATTGTCGCGAATTTCTTTTCGGACAATTTTCATTTGAAGATCCTCTGTTAAAATGCGGTGAGCGATTGTTTTGTGTATTCTACACTCTTCTGCAATCATCCGAACACTTAATCGTCGGTCCTTGTCCACAATTGACGCCCTTTCTGCACCGACTCGCCGGTTTGTGATGTCGTTAACGGACTCCTGACCTTCACGGATCCTTTTGTCGCACATGAAGTTTGGATTTGTTTTAATGCCCCGTCATCGTATGCTTTCCGAAGCATTTCGAACGTTGTCACACTGTTTCCCCACTTCCACCTAGATTGATTGCATAACGTTGCTCCAAAAAATGGTCTATTTTTGCTTGACGAGGGTGCAGTGGATACCTCTGCGCGGAGCGTAACCGTGCCTCAACAACTGCTCGCAGGCGACTGACACCAGTCTCGTTAGCTTAGATCGCCCACCAACTTCTTCGCCCGAAGCTCCGCCAGCCAGCGTTGCCAACTAGAAAAGATCATTTCTGGAACTGTTCTTGTCCCCAAATTGTCTATTACATAAAGACTAACCCCATTTGTATATTACATAAAGACTGTCAGCTTTAGGATGTGAAAGCATACCTCATTTTTATTTTTCTCTTT